TCAACTGCAGTTTGCACTCTGTGACCTTGTCCAAGAAAAAAAACAGTGAAAGCAAGAAAAATGAAAACATCAGCACACCTCTGAAAACCACTGACTCGTTAGGTGTGCTGCTTAAGGATTAGAGCCAGAACAAGATATCAAACAATATGCTAAGACTGTGAAATATTATCTCCCTAGTCGCAGAGTACTTTTCAACGGCTTACGCAGGTTATATATTCTGTATTATAGCCTTTTATTTTAAGTCAATTAAAACAGCCCTAAGCTCCCTGTAAAAGTTTCTCCTGGTCAACCATTTAGTAGACGACATCGACGCCATTACTTCGAAATAAATATTTAAGAATAGAAAACAGACGGATGCCATAGCAACGGCATTCCTGCCCATTATATATCGGCTCATTGATATCCCTCCATCATAAGAGCAGATGGTCTGCAGAAAATATTAAGGGTGTTCCGACAAGACAGTCGAGAGGTCAAAGGCTACTCCTAACTTCAGACCGACCAAGCACAGTCTCTTATAAAGTTGGCTATCGAATAGACGGCATCCTTTCAGAAAATGCGTACCAAATTTCAGGTCAGCGTCCGGAAACTCGTCGAAATTCGATGTGTCATCTATGCTTTTGATATCGATCCGTACCGGCGCCGGTCGGTCACGAATGTGCTCCCAGTCGACGGAAAAGAAAAATGGCTGACGCTTGATTTCCTCAAGATCGTCATTATGACCCAATCGATGCTCGGCTTCGGAACAGAACCTCAAAGAGAAACAAAAAATAAACGAACAATCATGTGACAGAAATTTTTGTATACCTTTTTATGAGATTCTTTGCGTGCGGGGAGATCGGCATTTCCGGAGGAAAAATCAGTGTCTGTTGCCAACACAGCACCTTTCGATACGTCTCCTGTGGAGTTTCAGAACAAAACGGAGGGTAACCTATAGAAAAGTTTAAAATATGATTTCCAGCGGTGCCGGTCAGACTAAAACGATACAACTCTCTAAACCCTAAAACATTAATATGACAAAACATTTCTGATTTTGTAAGTAATAACTTCGTTAGGGTCATGGTGTACACTGTCAAGTGTGAACATTTGCGCTGCTTGGTGCCGCCGACAACGAATCAGCACACCATCTGTACAAAACATAAATAGCATCATTATTAGAGAGCAGCGACTCGTTCTAAACGTCTGAATGGACTCTGAAATATGGAGTCTGAGTACGAGACGATGAGTGACATAATTAGGACACTGCTTAAAAAGCTTAGGGCCATGCAGTTCGGAGTATGATATAGCAAAATGTCATGTTTAGACCAAAAGGATGACAACATCAGTACACAAGTGTTGTGCTCAAATATCATGGAGCCTTGGTCTACTTACATACATCCCCCAGGTGACCAAAAGCAAGGGAGCGGTGCAGCTATGTCGAGTAAACCCGGTATCACAAATTGAAATGAGCTTAAAATTTGGTAACTTTTCTGATGCCTTCAAAACTTTGACCATTCAAATAATCCTTGACTCAAAAAATGAAGTTGTTTTCTGCTCATATTTTGATACAACCCATCAGCCTTATTTGGATCCTTCTTCCATGTAGTTCATGCAAGTAGACATCCAAGTTATAAAAGAACAAGGCAAAATGAAAAGATTTCATGCTTTCTTTTTGGACATGACACTGGTCCTTTGTTGCTTTGAATTGGACTAGTCATTCTCCTGGACATTACTACCATAAGGGAACCAACTCAGCTCAGCTGTACAAAACTTCCTTAGCTGACCTTTCCTAGAGCTTTAACAGTAATAGCTAAAGTGCACAGCTACCGACTAGAGTGGTAAGCTAACCATACCAACATGAATTAAGCCACACACGCTTAGCTTTACACTTCAGTTAGGGTTTAAATTTAGGATTTCTACACATCTTTGGCTCAAATAAAGGAAAGAATCAGTATCAAACCGTACCAGTATGGATGGACAAAACGATCAAGAAAACACACGCATGATGCACTGTACTTCGCCACGGTAGGCAATGCCTACAGTGGCCACTGTCCACTCTTTGCAAAAGAGACGATGAAGTTAGCTAGATCATAACAAGCGCTGTTTGATATGGTGTTTTAAATCTAAGCTTTTACGGCATCCTTTAAGGCACATGCCAGCATAATGCAAAAATGAATTAAAAATATGGTTGAAATCTAAGTTACAAAGTAAAGATGACTACAGTTGAAACAAAATAGAATATACCTATGAGCATTTCATACATGATAACGCCAAGAGACCACCAATCGCAAGAACTTGTATAACCGTTCTGAACGAACACTTCAGGAGCGATGTAGTCCGGAGTACCAACGGTCGAGTACGCCTTAAATCAGCAATTAGTGGTAGCAAACAGATTGACTTCATTTTCAGTTTATAGATTCAGTTCATTTAAAAGACTTATAAAAACACTTTAAAGGTTTTGTTATAAACAAACAAGACGAATCAAGTGGCGAAGCAACAGCTTAGGCTGTGCGGACAATCGGCTATCAGGTGAAACACTGACAACAATGAAAAACTTCATCTTCATCTTAAAATATTTGCACAGCATCCATTTCCATTTTGACGGGGTCAGATTTTGGCTGGAGTTTGCATTGGCTTGTTACTTAACTTATTTGGGTGATAATCCTGAAAATTCTAGCCGAAACCTGGTTCCATCAAAAGAGGAACTTTTTGGGTAGATATCTTAAGCAAAAGTTTACAATCGTTGTCCATCTCTCCTATGACGTCAGTTTTCCTTAAATTATTAAGTTATACCAGCCCGGTGATATTCTCAGCCTGATGAAGCAAAACTTCAGGTTAACGCGTCGAAACGTAATGTTAAGAGTTAGGATTAGAGAAATGCCATCCTAGAAAATTGCTGGCCGCATCGCGAGTTGCATAATAGTTACATAAGTTTAGTGCCTGGGTCATAGCGAGCTGCTTTACGACATTTCAGTGCGCCTCGTCCCTGCAGCATGCTCGAACCGAACTCTGTCATCGAGCCGTCCTACCAGTCTTCGCAACAACTATAAGATAGTCAGAGCTGCAAGAGCAATTATATGTACATAATATTATGACATGCCATTAACTTCTTGTATAAACAACTTTCACGACCTGGTGGTAATAGAGTAACGTCGTGCAAGAATGTTTTTTGCTTACTTCAACAGTTGTATCAGCAAACAAGCAG